CTCGGGCGGGAGCCTGGCCTCGCCATAAACGGGCTGAATTATATTTACAAGCGGCCTTTTATGCCTGTGGTCTCGGCTTCCTTAATGGGGATTTTCCTCCTCCTCTTTCTCTCTCTCCCTCGGTCACCGGTTTGGCTTCCAGCGTGCGGTTTGGACTCCTCACAGAGAAGTCGAGGCCATAGGATCCCTTCCAGATCTTCCCTCCCTCTCCCGCTCCTGCCCCCGCTGCGCCCGTGCCAAAGCCCCAAGAAAAGAAACGTTGCTCCTATTAGGATTTCAGGGGGGAAGAGAGGAGCCCTGTTGGGATTCCAAAACGTGCCCCAGGAAATGGCTGGTACAGAAGTCCTCCGACTCCGCACCTGAGCGCAGACCCGCAGGCCTCCGGGGCTGGAGGGGTCCAGCCCAGAGGCACGGCTGCCTCCCTGGCAGAGGGAACCCCAGGGGCAAGGTGGGGGGGTCGTGCCAGCGTGGGTGAGGAGCCCTCCCATCGTCTCCCAACCTCACCCACCTCCCTTTTCAGAACCGGCTGCACCTTCTGGAGGCCTCCATTGTTCTTTTCTGTTTTGTTTTGCTGGTTTTTGTTTTTACTTTAAGTTGTAAGGAACGTTATATATCAGATCACTTTATGCCTTCATCTTCTCAATTGTTTCTTCCTATAGCTGCTGCTTTCCTTTGCACATGGCGAGATTTGGCTTTATGGTCCAGGGTCTTTCTGCTGCGGTCTTTGTCCAGCTTCAGTCTGGATACCCACCCTGCAGGGGGGAATGCCCGCTTGGAGAGTCGTGCGATGAGCCTGCTCCCACTGCACTTGTTCGGTGTGGGTGACATCTATCTTCCCGCAGACCTGGACCACGTTGCCCATGTGCTGCCCTTCGTAGTGTCCTCACGGATCCTGAACTTCATCCTCCTTTCCGAGGGGCACGGACCGAACATTGTACTTGTCTCAACTCCTTGGGAAGAGGAAGAGACACAATCTCCTTGTGTCTGTGAAAGGTGCATTGAAAATGCCTTTCACATGGATCTTGCTCCGGTCGGAAGTCACAAAGGGATAGAACTTCATTTTGATCACTGGCGCTTCAGTGATCACAGTCGTTCTTAACTGCCTTTGGCTAGTTCCGTCTGCACATGGATCAGGTCCTATGTGATCTACGTATCTATTCTACCTATATCTATATTTGTAATCTTAAGATACCAAACTTAGCCAGAGGTTTGGGCCTCCTTGAGTTGAGGTCGGGGAGGAGGCCTTAGTTTGTCTTCCACCCCAAACCCCTCCTTCCCTTTTAGTCTCCCACAGGATGAGAAAGGGCAGGAGTACAATTTTTGGAGGATGGTCAAGCCATGTTTTCTCTCCTTTCAAAAGGAGCGCATGGCAATGCCAGCTCCGTAGGCCCGGGTCCCTCCTGTGGTCTCTCCTTCGGTTTTCTCTGCTTCTTAGATGATCCTTCCGCTCCTGTGAGCTACCTCTTGACCACTGGTGTCCCTGGGCCTGGGTGACCCACAGCTCCTGACGGATTACTGGCTCAGGTGTCAGGTTGAGGGCTCAGAAACCCAGGCCCAGGCTGCTTGTCATTTTGTCAGTCCAGAAAGCAGGACTCCTCACGCCATGCGTTTATGTTTACATGCTGTCGCCATGGTTGCACACATATGCTCCTGCAACATGCAGGCAATAAAGCGTCGGGCAACCAAAAAAGGGTAGGAGGCAGAGAGGCCAGGAATGCCAAATCTGTGACATCTTCCCCCAAGAAGCAGCAGCCGTCTCCAGGGTCTTGATAAATCGCGTTTTATCTCCTTTCAAAAGAAGCACGTGGTGGAGCTATTCATCTTGATGACATTGTCCAGGCTGCACAGTGTCATCCCTCTGGTGGGGAGACGGCCCCTCTGCCCCGCCTCAGAGAGAAAGGCAGGAAGGAGAGCTTGAGGGAGAGAATGAGAGAGGGCCGTGAATGGCCCAAAGTACCTCCTGGGCGCCTGCTATGTGCAAAGTGGAGTGTATGGTGCTGCAGGGGAAGGAGTGGCAACTGATGACCTCCGGCTCACGCCTTGTGTGGAGAGATGAGCGACGTGAATGGAAAACAAGCCTCACACGTGATGCATTAGATGCTCCTCTGGACAGGGCTGGAGACCAGTACCTGGGTGATGGGAAGTCAGGGAAGATTGTCACAGCTGCTTTCAGTGCCCCAAGGCCCCCTTACCATTCACCTCTACCTGCCAGAGGCTGCTCCTGGGAGCGACTGGAGGTTTTGTTCTAGCCAATGGGGTGCACTCAGCCAGAGGTGACATGGAGTTAATGCCAGAAGTGCCATAGAGTTAATGCTCTCTGAAGCTTAATGACTAGCCAGGTGGTGGTGGGATAAATACCAAGCCTCCTTGCCCTCAATTGGGATACCTCTGAGGTATGATCTGCATTCCCCCCACCTCTGGCACCCGAGTTCCTCAACAGAGCTGCACTCTGGAGCCGCAGAGTGAGGAGCTGGCTCTGTAATGCTTCCTCCCCTTCTCTGCCTTCCTTCCCCATTTCCCCCAAATAAACGACGAGCACTCCACTCCGTGTCCCTGGGTCTGTCTGGGCCTCTTTCTGGGGAAACAGCCTGGGGAAGCAATGCCTTTCTCTGTACTTCAGTTGGATCTAGATAGAGGAGGCTTAAGTGGATTCACATGTGGTCTACACATTTGTTCATGTGCAATGGTAGTTATCTCACTTAGGGCTCCTTTAAGGCAAGTGATGAAAATCCATCTCCAACCAGTTTAAATAAAAAATAATTATTTGTGCAAATAAAAGTGCCAGGTAAACTCTGGATTCAGGAATAGCTATATCCAGGCACTCAAATGATGTTAAAGAAATGTGCCCTTCTCTATCTCTTGACTCTGCTTTTCAGTCATTCGAGAAACATTTATTGAGTGACTACCTTATGCCAGGCACAGGTCCTTTCTCTCAATTGGTTTCCTTGTGAGTCAAGAAGAAAGATGGCATTAGAAGCTCAAGATTTTTGTCTACCAGTTTAGCAACTTTGGGAGAAAAAGACACCATCAGAAATCTCATGGCTGATCCCAGACCAGGTTCCCTGCCTACCTTTGAGCTTTTCTAGGCAGGTCACATGCCTACCATTGTTGCCAGGGGGTGTGGGGTGCCTCATCTGAACCACAAGGACTAGGAATGGAGGAGGGAGGCTCTCCAGAGGGAAATAGGGTAGATTTAAACAACAGATGCCTGGTATACTAGGTGTACTGGTTAATAATGCGGAATTTTTTCAACAGATAGGGTTCCACATATGTTGATATATATACGATTTGATATGTTTGCTATTTTGTTGTATTGACAACAAGCTTCAAAACTTCATATGTCAAATTTTCTGAAGGTGTTAACATCATAGATATTGTTATGCTTAAAAGTGTCAATTTTTGTGCAAAAAAAAGAAAAGAGCATTTGTGAGAAGTTTTAATTCATTACTTTTTTTTGAAGAAAAGTGTGCTGCTGAAAGTTCTCATATACTTCGGGAAGCTTATGGTGAGCATGCTCCATCTCAAGATACTGGTGAACACTGGTTTAAATGCTTTAAAAGTGATGATTTCTATGTAAAAGACAAAGAATGTCCAGGTCAACCAAAAAAAGTTTGAAGACCAACAATTACAAGCATTATTGGATGAGGATTGATCATTAACTGGTTAATTTTGCAGATACCAGTTAATTTTGTGGATTAATCATTAACCGGTTAATAATGCGGATTTTGTGATCAAAGAAAACACAATAATTTCAAGAGAAACATCAAAAGTGCTTTATTCAAAGTAATGTCCATCGCTAGCACTTTTCTTCAAAATAAAGTAATGAATTAAAACTTCCTGCAAATGCTCTTTTTTGGGGCACAAAATTTGACATTTTTAACTGTAAAAATATCAATGATGTTAACACGTTCCGAAAATTTGACATATGAAGTTTCGAAGCTTGTCAATACAACAAAATAGCATATATATCAAAGTGCATACATATCAACATATGTGGAACCTCATCTATTGAAAAAAAATTCACATCATTAACCAGTACACCTAGTAGTTATGCCATGAGCACTTCAGAGTGTACCAGTTCAGATGGGACAGATAGGCTCCTGGTGGCAGGAGACTCAAAAATAGCTGTAACACACAGCAGAAGGCACGAATGCCTTAGGAATGGACAAAGTGCATGGATGCCCTAGAAAGGAAGAGATTACTCCCGGCTTGGCCAATCAAGGAAGGCCTCTGAGAAGGGGGCATGTGCCCTAGCCATGGATGGTCTTTGGGCACAGAAATGTCAACTGTGATTGCCTTTGGGTCTTGCATGTCACGCCAAAGAGTTCCTATTTCAAATTTAATTGTTGTGAAGGACTGTGCATTGACCTGTTTGTTATCATTGCATTCTGCTAGTTCAGAGGAGCCTGCTGGGAAGGTTTGAGGGGTTGGCATTTCCTGTGAGCCTTGCCCATGCCTGTAAAAGGGTGTATCAGCATGGCCACACAGTGGTCCGGACGGCTGGAGGCTGTGTGTCAGAGAAGTTGGGGAATAGTCAGGCCAGGGCAGCCAGGCCCCCCTCGGCATTGGCCTGTGCCCGCCCTGGAAATAGCCACCCACTGAAACTAAGAATAGGAATTCCTGCCCGGCCGGCAGGAACTAATGCCGATTTCTCAAGGAGGGATGGGCCAGAAAACAAAACACGGCGTTGGGTGGGGCCATCCTTTGTATCTATTTGCGAGGTCACTTGGGAGCTGGGCCCACGTCTGGGCATTAATCTTGCCATTAAACCCAGTCACGGTGACCTGGGACAGATGGCAGCCTCCAGGGCTCCTCGCCTGCCCGAGAGGTCCTGGTCTCTCAGTCTTGGGTGCCTCCTGCCCCCTGAAAGAGGTGACTACTCCCTTGTTGCCTTGATGCGGAGAAGCCAAGGGAGAGGGGACCGAGAGGGAAGGGTCCCAGGTCCCTGTGGCAGCTTTACCTGCAATCAATCACCTGGCTCACAAGCATTTCTCTTCCAGGCAAAATCCTCTTCCGGAGAAGCCACATCCGGGACGTCGCGGTCAGGAGGCTGAAGCCCATCGATGAGTACTGCCGGGTAAGGCTGTGACGATACATCCTGGGGCCTGGTGCTTCCTGGCCAGAGGGGTGGGTGTGGGTGTCCCTTAGGGAGAGGTCACCCCATGGCTGGGTCACCCTCTGAGGGCCTCAGGCTCACAGCTGAGCCCCTATTCCTTTTGGGACATGTCCTTGTTTACAAAACGCCATTCTAAGTCACTTCCACGAGCTTGGGAGCTCAGCGAAGGGCTTCCTGCGGAAAGGATTCTGTATGTGACGTTCTGCTGGGCGCAGAACTGTTGCTTTGAGTTCCTGTGGGACGTTGTTGGAATCGGTTCTGGGTTCAAGAGTGTTCGAAACGTATATTTGTTTATTCACAGGAGTCTTGATAGCTACAGAGTTCATGGACACATCTTCATAGGTACAAGGGTGCGCACGCTCATACACACACACACACACACACACACACACACACAGCATGTGTACGCACATACACTCGGAGAACTCAGGCCAGAGTGCAGACGGGAGCGTGACAGCGATGACTAGAAGCAGAGCCTGTTGCCTTTCTACTTGGATGAGAGCCTCGGCCCCTGCAGGGAGGTCTCTGGGCGGGCTGAACTCCTCACTAGCTTCGAGAACTTGGGCAAGTTACTTAACTTCCCGGAGCCTCATTTCCACACCTGCACCTTAGGGAGAACAGTGCTTCTGCAGAAGGTAGTTCTGAGGAGGAAAGGAACTGACACATTTGAGCAACAGCAGCGCCTAGGGTCTGGTTCAGAGGAAGCACTCCGTAGATACTACCTTTTTGTTATTTTCCCGGGACAGTAAGTTGAATGTGACCGTTGGGTACCACTGACTTTCATGGAGATGGAATATCTTAAACTAAACCTATGGTGGCCCTAACCGGTTTGGCTCAGTGGATAGAGTGTCGGCCTGTGGACTGAAGGGTCCCACGTTCGATTCCGATCAAGGGCATGTATCCTGGTTGCGGGCACATATCTGGTAGGGGGTATGCAAGAGACAACTGATGGATGTTTCTCTCTCATCGATGTTTCTAGCTCTCTATCCCTCTACCTTCCTCTCTGTAAAAAAAAAAGAATCAATAAAATACATTAAAAAAATAAATAAACTATGGTGGAATCTGAGGAGAGGCAGGTGGGACAGCGCTTTGTTGTGAGTGCTAGTATTAGAGCTGGGGTCTGACCCCAGTGCCTCACCTTCTAGCTCTGTGACTTTGGGAGAGTTACTTCGCCTCTCTGAGCCCATTTCCTCATCTGTAAAAGGGGGACAGAAACAACTCTTTCACAGGGTTCATGAATGGGGTTGAGTAAGGGAAGGTATGTCTCAGTGTTCGTCATTCTGAAATACTTTGTCCCTACACAGAGTTGTGACTGTAAGATTCCTTTCTGGCTGGCCAGTGTGGCTCAGTGGTCCTATGAACCAGGAAATCACAGTTCAATTCCCGGTCAGAGCACATGCCCAGATTGCAGGTTCGATCCCCAGTTTGGGGTGTGCTGATCAATGATTTTCTTTCATGATTGATATTTCCATCTCTCTTCCTCTCCCTTCCTCTCTGAAATCAATAAATATATATATATTGGGTTTTTAAAGATTCCTTTTTGCGATAATGTCTGATATTTCTCAATCACTGTTAGGCGATAAAAATGCTCAAATAAGAATCATGTTGCTAAATTGGCTGGGCCGGCAAGCACTCCCGCAGACTCTGAGTTAAGCTGAGTCTGGATTTCGTGACTGCAGACCGTACCAGTCACATTTTCTTCCTTAACCTGAAAGGATGCCATGATGATAAATTATTCCCTTAAACCAAAAGCTCCTTTTCCAAAGACCAATCCAGCTGACCTAGGAGAGGCTGCGGGTTCGGTTCCAAGCCACTGCGGTAAAGCAAGTGTCCTAATCTTTTTGCTGGTAGAGGGTCTTGCCTTCAGTTTGTAAAAAAAAAAAAAAAAAAAAAAAGGCAACATCTATGCAGTGTGAGAAAGCGAAGCACACTAAGACAAGGTATGCCTAAATTCCCTTTTCTCTTTGAAGGGCATTTGCCATTTCCGGTTAAATTGATGGCTGCAGCCTGAGCTTTTATTTCTCCTCATTCCTTCCCAGGAAGTTAAATAAATGGGCAGAGCTAATGGAGGAGAGGGCAAAGGGCAGGAGGACGCATCCTCCAGCTGGGATCAGGGCTCGCGGCAGCCTCGGTGGTGGAGCCGGGGCTTCTGCAGCTGGTCTCTGTGGAGATGCCCCTCCCAGATCATCTGGAGCGGGAGACCCCTAACATCTTACCCCTTGGGCTCAGGCTTTGGACAGGACTCCTGAATCAGGATGAGTGTTGGGAAGGGCGGGGAGGGGATTCTGGGGTCCCAGGAGTGCTGCTAATGGCCGAGGGAGCCATTTAAATGGGGTCTGCAAGAGGAGCGGCCTCCTAACCTGATTAGCTCAGACAAGAGTGGCTCAGAGCCGGGCAACGAGGGGCAATATCATGGGTTCACCCAGCAGCCAGACGTTTCACAGGCTGTAATTTACGCCGAGGATGGTGGGGGGTAGGGCAGTGCAGACGTGACCTTTAATTCTGCTGAATTAGAAAGCTGGGATCTGTGGTCTGATTGTCTGGGACCTTAGAATGACCTTGGTATGGTCATCAGGAATAAGGCAGTAGCCATCCACGGTCACTGCCACCCAGGGTTGCATTTCACAGCTCTGCCACCCAATGGCCCAATCTGTGGGCCACTCAGGATCCAACAGTTCACTCAGCGTCACTGCTCCCCACAGCAAAGCCCACTGTCAATGCCATGTGTAGCCCACTCCCTGGCCGGCCCTTCCCTTGTCTATGCTTGTCCTTGGACACACTGCTTAGAATTAGGAGTTGGGGGGTGGGAGGCGGGGGGGGGGGGGGGTGGTGTGTTATTTGCAGTACCCTGCATGTGCAGCTCTGCTTGGCTGGCAACACCTTCTTCCTTGACCTGCTGGACAATGTGCACTCCGAGTCCCTGATTTGCTGGGGGTTCAAACGCACCCCCAGTTGTGCAGCTGGCTCTGTGCACAGAGCAGCCAGCTCCTCTGCCAGGACTCAGAGGTGGAAAGTCTGACCAAGCAACGGACCTCCCCAGACTCCAGGCAGTCCCCCTGCCTGATGGGGATTTCACAGCCCACATCTCTGTTAATTTCAAACATCTACGGAGCAGATTGCATGAGCGTCACGGAAAATGCAGCGAGCGCCAGCCAGTAATTGTTTTATGTGGCACTGGAGGGCCAGGTGTCTATCAAGAGGGGTTCCAAAGGCATTTCTTGGACTCCATAAATTAATTTAATAGGCAACATGGTCATGCGGTTAATATTTAATGGTTCCGTGGCCTCAACAACTTGAGAACCTTCATCTCACTAATAAGCTTGAGCTATACTTTAGGGGGCTGGGGCTAACCATTTTATAAGTGACTCCATTTACCCTGTGCCTGCCTGGGACATACATGTTTGCAGTTTTTGTCTAGGGGATAATGTAAGTATCCCGGGCGTGTGGGAGTGGAGGGGTGAGAGTGTTTGAGAATGATCCGCTCCCCCTTTGCCATGTTGATGACATTGGTACAAGTCTCTTGTTTCCTGGTGGGTGTGACAAACATTTTTGCTGTCTAAAAAGCGGAGCTTGCTTCTATTCTGCTGTCAGCGATAGACTTGCCTCCAGGATCGATGGCTTTCTTTGTGGGAGGGAAGAGGGGTTGGCTATAGTTAGGCTGGGGGAAGGACTCCAACCCAACAAGACCCTCTGACTCTCACGGGCTCATTCATTTTCATCCCCATTTCCCAGATTTGAAAGCAGAGGCTATGCTTTCTGGTGGTTCTTAGTCCCAGGTATTCTCCCTCCCACCGTGGGAATGTCCCACCATGGCCCATCATTGGTTCTCATTAGTAAAGAGAAAGGACCCAGCCTGCGTGGCTGTGGTGGAAACTAGGAGGTCAGGGCACCTGCCTGGGTTGCAGGCTCAATCCCCAGTGTTGAGCGCGCAGGAGGCAGCCGATCAATGTTTCTCTCTCTCGTCATTGATGTTTCCATTTTTCTTTCCCTCTTCTTTTCTCTCTGAAATCAATAAAAACAAATTAAAATAAATAAATAAAGAGCTGAAACCGGTTTGGCTCAGTGGATAGAGTGTCAGCCTGCAGACTGAAAGGTTCGATTCCTGTCAAGGGCATGTACCTTGGTTGCAGGCATATCCCCATTAAGGCGTATGCAGGAAGCAGCTGATCGATGTTTCTAACTCTCTATCCCTCTCTCTTCCTCCCTGTAAAAAAAAAACAACATTTTATATATATATATATATATATATATATTAAAATTTTTAAAAAATAAAGAGAAAGGTTCATGTTGCAACCAAGAGTCCTTTAAGGCATCAGAGCTCCTTGCACGCTCAGTCCTAGATGGGAGAGGAACTTCATTGCTCAGGGCGGAGACTGAGGCAGAGGGGCAAGACTGATTTGTCCATGCTTCCCCAGGGGTCTGCTTCTGGGGGACCTCTTGGTAGAATAGGTCTGGGGAGCCATCTGCTCTGGCCCAGCCTGTTCCTTCCTCCTTCGAGGCCCTCAGAGGAGCCCCATTGCCCATAAGAACCGCTGAGTGGCTCAGCCAGGCCCTCTGTGTGGTGCTTCCAAGTGCTGCTCAGGCCGAAGCTCTCACCCCTCTCCTCCGAACTCCACCGTCCAGTCTGCCGGCCGTTCGGCCATTCCCAACTAGCCAGACCCCCTTGGCCTGCGCTAGGCCCTCACCTGGGGAAGTGTTCAGCTTCCACAGGGTCCCTCCCCAAAGCCTCCCGACTCCCCGGGGAATGCTGACCCCTCCTCTCCCATTATCCAGAAAGCCCTGTGCAGGCCTCCACATCACACATTATTCCCAGGTGACATCCATGTGCCCATGTTCTCCAGGCCAGGAGCTCCCAGAAGGCCCCTTCTGTTTCCTTGTGTCTTCACTAACCAGCAAGAAGCTGGCCTCACGTGGGCGTCCAGCCAGTATCTGAGGACAAGCTGCACAGATCAATACAAGCA